ACATGAAAGATGTAAAGCTGATTTTTTGCATGGTGATAGTGTATGATAGGAAGGGTGTTTTCTGAAAGTTCCCCGGATTTCCCCCCCTTGCTTCCCCTTAAACCCCCCCTCCCCCAAAACACCAGGTTGAAAGTGTAGTGTTTTACTAAATCACCTATATCTTTTGATGTAAACAAGCTATCAGCATAATTGTTTTTTCTTTGAACTCCCCGTTAAATTTACTTTAATAAAATAACCTTACATGTAGCATTATCTCTATTGGGTGGGTTTATATCTGTAATATAACCAAAAATTCTTTTTTTTTTACATAAAATTGTAGATTAGGTCAAACCCCGGTTTTTGCAGTAGGTCGTACGTCAATGTGTTTGAAACAAAACTTTTTACCTATTTTATGAGCTTTCCAAAAATGTATAACAATATATATTTTAATTTAAGTTGTTACCGAATGAAGCTATTTAAATCCATGCTTCACTTAGTGCACTTAGTGCATCATTCCAAATTATTCAGTAAATATTACTAAATGATTACTTTTTATTTATTTATTGTTTACATACCCTGTGTGAATGTTTAACAAGCAAAATAAGAACACTCAATTACAAAATTAGCAAGAAAATAAGTACTCACAAGAATTAAAAATGAAGTAATCGGTAGTTATAAGAAAAGGCAAATATTTGCTCAATAGGTTTATTTAATTAGCCTACAGTTAAAAAAAACACTTAAGTAAGACATAAACAATACAGTACATATCAACTTTCTTTTCCCTCATCATCGTCAGTTGTTCCTTCGTCAATGAAGGGTGGGAGTGAATTTATACAATCATTTATACAATCAATTTAGTTGTACAAAGTTAAAAAAAAAACAATTTAGTATTTTTTCACCACTTAAAATTTGTAGATCACTTAGCTTATTACCAATAACTTTTAAATGGGGGGAAAATCTACCAAAGTGGATGTGATATTCTGAAAGAGAATACAAATTACTAAAAAAAACTACTATGCAAGACTATGCATTTTTTGAAAATACTTAATAAAGGCAGCCAAAAGCTGGCTACAAATAGAAACTTGAAAACAGAAACTTGAAAAAAGAAACTTTCACCACAAATATTTGATAAAATCACACTTTCATAATAATTTGCAAATCTAAATGAATTAGGCTTTCCAATGACCCAATAATTAACAAAATCGGTCTGGTAGAAGTCTAGATTTAGTTGTACAAAGTTTAACGAAAATATCCCTTACTCAGTATTTTATCATTACTATAAATTCAGAGGTTGCTTAGCCTTTTAGCAAATAACTTTTAAATTGTGAGGAAATCCACCAGAGTGGAAGGTGATATTCTGAAAGAGAATAAAATTTCCTACAAATTGGTACCATATAATTTTTGGAAATACTCAAAATAAGTAGCCACAAGTCGCACCCAAATAAAACGTGTAAAAAACACAGTTTTCAATGCATTTCTTATGGAAAACATTTTTTTTATATTTTTCACCATAAATCATAACAAAAAAAACTTTCTTAATTATTTTCAAACTTAAATGACACACATTTGAGCTTTCCGACGACACAATACTGTAATTAATAAAATCGGTCCAGTAGAACTCTAGATTTAGTTGTACAAATATTTTTAAAACTGAATTATACAGGGTTAGTAAAAAGTGTGGAGACCCCCTGTTATTTTTTTAACGGCCCATTATAGAAAAACTAAACTGGGCACACCTTTATGGCATGTTATGAAGTACTTTTTGGACATAACCACCACTTGGTGTACATCCCCAAAATGGGGGATTTTGGGGGAAACTCAAACAACCCTTTAAAAACAACATTTTAAATGTTAAGCCCCATTGAGTAACTCCTCATTTTGAAGGTCCTGGTCGAAGAAAACTAACAACGCAAACTAGAGGTTTCTATCTCAATCCAGTAAAAAATGGAAGCTGATTGAAATCTGAAATAACTTGCAATTTAATATTTAATTGGCTGCCATATTTTACTGTGTTAAGATAGAGACCTCTAGTTTGCGTTGTTAGTTTTCTTTTATTATGATTTTCAAAATGAGGGGTCACTCGATGGGGCTTATCATTTAAAGTTTTTGAGTTTCACCCAAAATCCCCCATTTTGGGATTGGTAACCAAGTGGCTATTAGGCTTAAAAAGTACTTCATAACATGCCAAAAAGGTGTGTAGAGTTTAGTTTTCCTAGTGTGAGCCGTTACAAAATTTACAGGGGTCTCCAGACTTGAAAAGCTGTAAGTTAAATTTAACTTCTGAGATTTTCAATTGGCTGCCATTTTTTACTGGATTGAGGTAGATACCTCTAATTTGCGTTGTTGGCTTTCTTTTACCAGGACCTTCAAAATGAGGGGTCACTCGATGGGGCTTAAAATTAGAAATTTTGGAGTTTCCCCCAAAATCCCCCATTTTGGGGATGATCACCAAGTGGCGGTTATTCCCAAAAAGTACTTCATAACATGACATAAAGGTGTGCCGAGTTTAGTTTTTTTTTGTATGGGCCGTTAAAAAAATTAATAGGGGGTCTCCACACTTTTTACTAACCCTGTATATAGAATAGATATTTACTGGACAAGTTGGAATGGTGCGCTTTGTGGCGGTTTGAAGCATGGATTTAAATGGCTTCATTCGGTAACAATTTAAACTAAAATATATATTTTTTTACATTTTTGGAAAGCTCATCAAATAGGTAAAAAGTGTTGTTACATTGACATACTACCTACTGCAAAACCGACGTTTGGCCTAATCTACAACTTCACGTTTTGAATAAAATAATATTTATCTTGTATCACATATAAAGTCCCACCCAATAGAGATAATGCTACGTGTAAGGTCATTTTATTAAAGTAAATTTAACGGGGAGTTCAAAGAAAAAACAATTATGCTTATGGCTCGTTTACATCAAAAGATATAGGTGATTTAGTAAAACACAACACATTTAACCTGGTGTTTCGGGGGTGGGGGGGTTTAGGGGGAAGCAAGGGGGGGAAATTCGGGGAACTTTCAGAAAACACCCTTCCCATTATATACTATCACCATGCAAAAAATCAGCTTTACATCTTTCATGTCTAGGTTCTTACCTAATGTGACTGGGCTAATAGATCAGGTACGTTAACAACCGGTAAGCGAAAAAAATCCAGTATTGACACTCTCTATCAGAGGTTAATTTAACTACAGGTGTACTCTTTGAGTAAACCCCCCCAACAGCTGATCAATCATAGGTGGGTCGTCTACTGCAGTATCCAAAGTCAATGACGGCGAAGCTCGAAGGCTTGACAAATTTGAAGCTCCCCTAAACATTAGTTCTATTATGCATTCCACTGAAAGTCGCTTTCGCTTTACAATGCAGCAAATTTGCTCCAGCTCTCCAAAGCTCGGCTGAATACTTCGTAATTTGTAGCCTATAGAGCAGCTCTTTCACGGCGTAACACGTATTTAAGAACTGCTACAACTGCTTACCGTAGACATAGCAGGGAAATGGAGATTTTTAAGGATTATTGCGGTTATTTTCTAAAACTGGTTGGTAAAAGACTAGTTTCTCGACGATTCGGGATCTGAAATCCGGTTTCTGTATCCCGTTGGGATAAAGTAGAATAATACACAATAAAAATCCCACCTTTAAAAAAAATTCCGCTCAAATTGGCGGCTAATACGAAATTTCTTTTGAACACCCAGTATTTTATGATATTTTGTAGATGCAATTTTAAGACTTAATTATTCTTATCACTTTCTCACCAAACTTACTTGTTTGTGAGCTACAGGAAGCCATTTTTCCAAGGTGTAACACACGTCATAAATAAGTTGCTTAGAGATAAAATGAAGCGAATAAAAGCGTTTGAATTGTATTTTGATACTTAAACAATTATAAAATACAATGTTTACCGTTGGAAATTATAAAATTAGCAACCATATTGGAAAATTTAGGACATATATCAAAAAATGAATGGATATTTTTTAATGACATGATAAAATAATGTAGTTAAAGTTTTGTCTAAATATAATAGTTCCTGAGTTACCAATGGTAGCACAGTGTTGTATACCCTGTGTATGAATTTGAACATATGGTGTTTTTGGCCTCTGGTAAAATCAAAACTTTAAAGTAAATCGGTCCCGGGTTCAGGTCTTACCACGAGACAATTACCAGGGTAATAGTTTATTCCCTCTATAAAAAATTTGTTAAAATGCAAATTCTACACTAAAACAAAAAATACAATATCAGCGAACTCTAAACATTACCAACATTACCAAACAACAAACATCAATTCAACATCAAAACAACAAACATCAAAAATCAAATTTGCAGTAAACAATAAACATCCAAACACTACCCAATAAAACATGTCTCACATTTTACAATATGATAAGTCAACTTTCAATGCAAAATCAATACTATAATGTAGTAAGGTACAAACCTGGCAACACAAATGAACTCAATAGATAAAAACAAATGGTTATTGTAGCCAGAAATAAAGGCACAAGAGAACAAAGTTAATAAGATGTATCAACAATAATTGTCCATTACAATTAGCACAATCCAACATTTTGGACCAAAATGTGGATAAGAAAAGACTCCAGATCTCTAATAGAGTGGGGGGAGGGGGGTTAGCGGATTTTTATCCGAGTCGGAATCAAACGTACTTACCAACATCAACAATAAACTCTGGCAGAAGAATGAAAGTAAATTTCTTATCAGCTGAGGTATTATACATCGATGGTGGTGACTACTGTGGTAAAGAAGGTCTTAAACCAGCTTTGTTTGGCTGAGGTACCATGTTGTATTCATATAATATAGATCAATCAGCATTATTTAATATTTATGGGCTACGCTTCCAAAACGACGACATTTTTTACCAGACAAAATAATATAAAGCATAGGAAGTTAGTATAAACTGCTTTTGATTAAAAAACATTTATCTTAAAAATTCAAGATAACTTAAGCACTGTAACGTAAAAATGTATTAACATTTTATCCTCATAAGTTTAATTCACAACTCACCTTCCAATGTAAGGACCAGCTACTGCACAGCCACATAGAGTAAAGGCCTGAAACAAAAATATTACGTTAGATGGAATATGTCTTATTTGAGCCATAAAATTATTAGCATAGATTATATATATTACCTCATATATTGATGTCGTTTACTATTTTTTTTCTTGTTATTAAACCATCGTTGCAGTAAAAAATAATAGAAGAGTATTATAAATAATTACAATTTAACTGTAAAATATTGCTCGTTCTTTGGTAACGAAAGGATACGCAGATATTTCAAAAACTATCGTAAAAGGACATAAGCATTTATTCGTCATCAGCGCACTCAAACGATACTAATATGAATTGACCACAAAATAGGCTTCAGGGGTAACGATAAAAGGTGACGTCAACTTGCGCTACTCGAAGCATTATCGAGTCAAAGAAAATACTTTACTATCGTCACCAAAGTTATTTACTGTAGTAATTCTTACAAATTAAAGTAATAAGTAGTCATTATCATAACCCGTTGCTAAAGAGTGACAAATATAGTGAAGGATGATAGGTAAGAAAGGGTCGACAAAAACGAGAAGGAAAGCTAGTTAAGAAAAAAATTGATTTACGGTGTAAAAAAGAAGAAGGATGAGGATAGACTCAGCATCGTAATGGACTAAGCTGGTGAAGTAGACGTTGAAATATGGCTGCAGGGATTAGTATTGATTTCGTATCTCTCTCCTAAGTGACTTTCTAAAGAGTGTGTATACTTAGCCACCACGGTACTCACTCACGTGGTGTGGGAGTATGTTTGAGTAGCAAGGATGGGATTCTGCAATCATCCAGTGAATTGATACCTTTTAGAAATTGGAAACCATACAAAATTGTTAGTGTTGCACAGAAATAATATAATTTGGGGTTCTTGAAAATAAAACTTCATGGTTGTTATTTCAGATTTAAAACTAGTTCTAACCTAACACGGAAAGAGCGAAAGAATGAGTGGAGGAAAAAAGGTGCGGTGAAAACTCAGTCTGCTTGTTAATGACTAATTTCATATATATGTATGACCATTGATTAATCTTTATATTAAATATAAAGATTAATCAATGGTCATACTGATATGTGGTCCATATGGTCATATGGTAAAATTTTATGCTGTATGATTTGTTTGTGAAGATTAATTAATTATCACATGTTTTAATATTGTTAAATGGGTAAATAAATAGTTATTGAAATGTTGTACTGGAATTGACTATTCTTTTATTTGACTTTGATAATTGACAATTTAATATTGGTGCTGAAACTAAAAAAGAACCATGTCTTACAGATAAAGTAATAGGGAAGTTAAACCTCCAAAAAGGTATACCCCTGATCAGAAAGGAAATAATGATACTGACAAATTATCAAAGAATGTTTCTGAGAATAATGGAAACAATGACACTCAAGGAGTAGCATTGAGACAAACCAGCATTACTTCTAGTAGTTCAAGGAAATAAAAAAGTAAATCAGCAACACCAATCAGCAGGAGACAAATGGAAATAGAACTTGAAAAGTTGGAGGAAATACAAAAACTGGAACGAGAAAATGAAGAAAAGGAGCTGGAAAGACAAAGACTGACGGAGGAGAAGGAGATGGAGCTACAAAGACTGGAGCTGGAGAAGGAAATGGAGCGACAACGTCTGGAGAAGGAAATGGAGCGACAACGTCTGGAGAAGGAATGGAGCGACAACGACTGAGAGACGAGCTGAGTCGTGCTAGAAATAAGGGCTTCTATGAAATCACTATCGGCAAATGGTAGCCAAGTCTGCGGATCTGGTGGCAAATTGGCTGATTTGGAAAAAGAACTTTCTGAACGTGAAAAAGAAGAAGCCAAGGCCATGGCTAAAATGAAGAGTGGCAAGGAAAACGTTGCATCGGAGGAGAAGAAAAAGAAGCAACTGGAGAAGAGTATAAAGGATGACGAGGCAGCGCTGAAGGAGAAAGAGAAGGTGTTGAGTAAAGCAGAGGATGTGTTCCTACGACTGAGACAAGCAGACGAGGAGGACAGCAAGGCTCTGGAGGCAGATCAGCGCAAGTACCAGGTTGTCAGCTCTGGTCTGCTGTCATCAGACGACGGACAAGACGCTACACTGCAGGACCAGCTGTTGAATGCTAAACAGGAGGTTAGCCGGCTGCAGACAGAGTCGATGCAATGTAACATGCAACTGGAACACAACAGAAATGAGCTGAAAATCAAACAGAAGGACTTGAAGCAAGGAGAGACAGACTATGCCAGGGATGAGAAACAGCTGCAATCTATGGACAAGGAACTGGAGTCCCTCAGGCGGTATTTAGGCAAAGTAAATTATGAGGAAGGAAAACTAGAAGATTTGGAAGACAGAAAACGTCAGCTAAATACGGACATAAGAAAGATGAGAGATAAAGTTGAACAGTTCCAAGCTAGGAACTCTTCTCTCAGATCCAACTACAAGAACCCAAAGCCCAACTTTGACAGGTCGGCAGTCAAAGGTCTGGTTTGTCAGCTGTTTAAAGTCAAGGATCCAAAGTTTGCCATGGCTTTGGAGTCTGCTGCAGGAGGAAGGGTTCGTGCTGGATCACTACAAGAGTTGGTGTACAAAAGTGGGCAAGCCGGAGTTACAAAAGCTTCCGTCACCATCACATTTGACAACCGAGACACTAGCAAGTCTCCTCTCGGATATGAGAAGTACGATGAGATCACTGTTACTAGACAGACGGTGGTCGACAGACAGAACATTGATGATGTATCGGTTCTTTCCTGCGTTCTTCTTCTGTTTGGTTTTCAGCTCATTTCTGTTGTGTTCCAGTTGCATGTTACATTGCATCGACTCTGTCTGCAGCCGGCTAACCTCCTGTTTAGCATTCATCAGCTGGTCCTGCAGTGTAGCGTCTTGTCCGTCGTCTGATGACAGCAGACCAGAGCTGACAGCCTGGTACTTGCGCTGAGCTGCCTCCAGAGCCTTGCTGTCCTCCTCGTCTGCTTGTCTCAGTCGTTGGAACACATCCTCTGCTTTACTCAACACCTTCTCTTTCTCCTTCAGCGCTGCCTCGTCATCCTTTATACTCTTCTCCAGTTGCTTCTTTTTCTTCTCCTCCGATGCAACGTTTTCCTTGCCACTCTTCATTTTAGCCACGGCCTCGGCTTCTTCTTTTTCACGTTCAGAAAGTTCTTTTTCCAAATCAGCCAATTTGCCACCAGATTTCTGTGGCGAAAAGACAAAACCAAACCCCCAGATACCTACATAATGAAAGCGATGACCTTCGGAGCAACATTTTCATCAAGCTCTGCACTGTTTGTTGTAAACCACAATGCAAGACAGTTTCACTCTTTGTATCCTGAAGCTAGTAATTGCATACTGACTGAAGAATATATGGACGTCCTGCTGGATTCGACCAACACAGAAGAGGAAGCTAAACGACGTGTTCAAGAAATAATTGAGATACATAGAGCTGAAGGATTCCAAATTTGTAACTGGATGTCTAATTCAAAACAAGTACTTTCGAAAATTCCTGAAAACCTGAAAGCCAGCCAAGCCAAACATTTGATGCCCGATACTCGACTTCCTACAGAACGAGTACTTGGATTATGGTGGGACGCTGAATCCGACTGCTTTGTGTTCGATCGCAATGTCGAAAAACTTGAATTTCTCGAATCTGAGTATCCGACGAAACGAGTGATTCTTAAAGCAGTTATGTCAATTGTCGATCCTCAAGGTCTGATTGCCCCTACCACAGTAAAACGGAGACTACTGGTTCAGGATATATGGAGAACAAAACTAGATTGGGATAATGTTGTGACACCTGAACTTAGTCTGAATTGGAAAGCCTGGATGGATGAAGACAAAAGAACTATTCCACCTGAAGTTAACGACTTGGCAATAATCGTAGACGAAGACAGTGTACTTAACACCTAGCCCCTTGGAAGAATTTCTGCCCTGTACCCCGGTCGAGATGGACAAGTAAGAGTTGTTGACATCACAACACCAAAAGGTACTTTTTGGCGTCCGATGACAAAAATTGCCATTCTACCTGAAGAGGGGAAAGATGTTAATGACTCATTTCATATATATGTATGACCGTTGATTAATCTTTATATTTATGCTGTATGATATGTTTGTGAAGATTAATTAATTATCACATGTTTTAATATTGTTAAATGGGTAAATAAATAGTTATTGAAATGTTGTACTGAAATTGACTATTCTTTTATTTGACTTTGATAATTGACAATTTAATACTGCTATCAGTAAGGGTTTCTATGAAATAAAATGTACATTAGGCAAAACCCTTGTCTTTTCACGATATCATATATTTCTCATATTAAATTCCCCCAAGACAAAGTCTTTGACAAAATTCACACCCATTTGCTAAAATAGTATAATCATTGACTATTCACTATGGGTTATAGCCAATAATATAGCTGTAAAGAAATTAGAGGGATGACAAAATTGTTGTCTTTACTCATTTGATTGTTATTGAAGATAATTCTGGTTCTTTCTAGACCTTAACTCAAACCTTTAACGTAAAAGTTTTAAAATATTGTTTTTGTTTTTCCATGTTTTTACTAACAAACTTGTACAAGATACAGGGGAAGCATGTAAAGCTTATGTTTTTATAAAACTGAAAACTGAAGTTGAAAATTGAAAGTTACGTTTTTTTTAGTTTTACTAGCAAATATCTAAGATACAGGGGAAGTTATTCAATTTAAGCACGTCAGACAAAATTGCGACCGCTAATAGTGCGAAAACGTCATTCCAAAATGGGTAGATGAAAGCAAGATCTCAACTAACCCTGTGATAGCTTCATAGCTAAAACATAATGCAGCATAAACAACCATTAACATATAAAATAACAAACAGTCAAAACTATCCACTGGTGAGAAAAAACGCCACAAAAAGTTCGGGAGGGGTGGCAAGTACCAATAGTGCACAAATACTAATTGAACATTTTGTGTATCTTTAATTTGCAAAATTAGACTACCTAAAAACTTTAAACTTTAAGCAATGTGTCTCTTTCCAAATGTAATCCTTGAGAACATCCATAAATCCAATTGAGGTTAAATATGCAAGCATGCAGTTGCCGTTGATGGGCCACCGTTGACATAGGACACATGATATGCATATGTAACACACACACACGTAGTATACACACACATGTACACACAGCTCATTGGTAACACATGGGCTTAAAGCTTTCACTCGTCCACGCTCAAGGCTAGAACCTCCACAGAGGGTAGCGAGAGTTGTGTGTGTTTGTGTGTAAATGTATGTTTATTTGATTGTGTGTTTGTGTACCAGCTGTACACAATGGTTACTAACTTCCTGTCGTTACTCTTCAGTACTTCCTTCCCGAACTCACATAAGATTTTATGTAATTTCCTAGAGAGGATTTTCAGAACATAAGTTGCGATCAAGGAAGAAGTGCTGTAATTGTAATTGAATAAAATAAATACTGAAGAAAATAACGTCTCATCATTACTGATCTCAATAAAGCGTTTGCTATGCCATTTTCAAGAAATTGAATTACATTGGATATTTTGTCTTTGTTGTAATTGCCTTAGTCACTATGCATTTCGCCACCTTGTGTGGAGGGGGTTTCTGCTTGTTGGTTCATTTTCTTATCACTAACACATTAGTCTACATAAACAAAAATATTTACACCTGAACTCAGGCAACAACAATAAAGGTTAATATAAAAAGTGTGCAAAGGATCAGATGAGTGGTAAGAAGGAGGCTAAAAAGTGGTAAAATCGTGTAGGAAGAAATAGCAAAGATGTAACCATAATAATTAGGATATGTTAACCACTAACCTGAAGGAAGGCATCGATTGAACAAAATATTTGAATGGAATGACCGAGTGGGTAAAGATGCGAAGGGACTTGAAGTAGACATAATAAAAGACCAGAAGTGTCTGTAGGGCAGTTACCATACCGCATGACGAGCCTTGGGGGCAAGTAAGCCAAATAAGTGGCGGATTTGTAATCTTTCAAAAATATGGAACACAACAAGAATAAATTTCACACATCCAGTTACCTTGACATAGTTACTGGATAAAATGGCATAATATTGTAAATACTGTAAACCTGAAGGTTAACGAACGTTCTTGTACAGAAGCATGAGGTTACTGGTAAATCTGTGCGTTTTCAGATATTGAGTTAAAGCATTTGTGTTAACCAGTGCGCGAAGGAACTTTGCACTCGCGTTACACATTATATTTTTCCTACAGTTACAATAAAACATATAAATAATGTGTCTTTCAAACACCATACAATGCGTTTTTAGGTTAGTTTAATTTAACGAAATGGGAAACGCTGCACCAGTTGATTGTATTCGTAGTATATTTAAGTGTTGCCAGCTTATTTTCAAGCATACACGTATTACGCGATTAATAAAAACACGCTTTTTTTGTTTGGTTGGAATACTGGAGTAGGAAAAAATTAAATGAGTGTGGAAAAGTAAGTTAGTTAATGCAGCAATTAGCTATAATCATCGCAAGGAAGCCCACTTTGTCAGGTAACTGTAGGAAAAAATAATTTGTGATGTTTCTCGCAAAGAACATTGCTTCTGCTTCTAGAACATTGATAACAAAGAACTGGACTGAAAGTAAACTTGCATACCTCGGAGTTAAAACAAGAGCTTGGACAAAGTTTATTTCCCAACTTGTTTTCAATTGACGTCCAAAAGAAGTGCTGTTGCCTTGACATAGTTGGCCTACTCTGAATTCAACGACGTTGTCAGATAGTTACGTTCCTTTGGGTCTGCGTTGAATACAATCAAGATTAGCCACGGGTCTAGACAATCCCCTTAATTATACTTGGGAGGAATTTGCAAGATAAAAGGTAGGAAGAAGTTTGGTAGACGAATGAATAGTTTCACAATGTTCCAAAATAACCCCGTGCTTAAAATATTATCAAGGGGAATATGGCATGAATATGAAGAGGGAGATTATAGACCAATTCTTCACGTTTGATGACGAAAGTCTTTTCTATTGTTTTATACTATGATGCTGGATTTTATTTTGAGATCCTACGTTAGTTCAAACCAGTGCAAAGGCGAGTATAGAATTTTATCAGCCAATTTTTAAATAGGTGTTTTGAATGAGGGTTGAAGCTTTATAGCGTTCCAAAAGTCCAATTCTTTACCCCCTACAAAGCTGAAATACAATTTCACAGTTCATGCAGCGAATTTGGTTATTGCTCTGCACAATAACTCATAAAGAGAAAAATTCACCAGGATTTAAAAAAAGGGTGGTTAAGCATGAGAGTTGTCTAGATGGTTGCTGAATTTATCAGCATTAAGTTATTTTTTACCTAACACGATATCTACCACTAGTTTTTATAAGATAGGAATTCAATAGGCTACTTGTCAGCAATGCGAAGTTGATATTGAAATAGTCACACTAATTAATTATTTTAGTCAGGCAGTTCCTGTATGGAATTCCCGTACTATCGTTCCACTACGTTATAAGCCTCATGCACTGTTTGTCTCTTTATTTGAATTACTAGTCCAATGCATTTCATCGCTGCAATAAAGTTTTTTAATAGCTGTGTTTGCATCTTTGCACGACCAATTTGAAACATAAAACATAAAATATTCTTCCTTCTGACTTCAAGAATAGATTGCGCTTTTATCTTCTTCTTTTGAAATTTACCCGTAAAATATTAATCATTGCCATTACTGACCACGTATTCGATCTGTTTGAAATTTTGGTGGGATCAAATTCACAATGGCATCTAAACCCAGATATCTCTATGATTAGACCACTTGGAAAATGCAGAATGGGCTTCGGGCACAATAAACTCGTATTAGATTTTTGAATAGGTATTGAAGAACAAATCAGATCAATGACGAAATAAACACTAAAACTGTTACAACTTACCCCCCGTAAGTCCCTACTCGTGTTTTAG